ATTACTTAGCTTTGTAAAACAACCTAGCTGAATTTCTTTGGATTAGTTCAAAGCTACTAACTCTAAGGGCGCGTTTGTTATGCGGGATTCTTGGAAATTCTCGGGAAACTGAATTTTTCTAAATTTTTAATTTTCAGATATTATCGTAAACTGAATGTAAAAATTATATTTTTAAAAATTGAGATTCTCGGATAAAAAAAATTTCTCCTCTATCAAACGCCCCCTAAAGACTCATATAGTGGACACACGACAAGATAGGATAAGATAGAATAAGTGAACTGAATAAGAGTAGAAAATGTTAAGGGCTTGATAAACTCATTTCGTATAGTGTTCGATGCGTATTAGACAAACAGTATGATATGATTATATTATCTCATCCTATGTTTGGAATGAATTAGATAGTGTCGGGATATATGATACAAATAGACAAAAATAGCCTCTATAAAAAATTATATATTTTTATTTAAAATTGAATTTTAAACTATTTTCTTTTCTTTTAACTTGCATTAGTTATTATTTTATTTTAAAATATATATATTTGAAAACATAATTTTAAAAAATATATTCAAAAACATAAAATCATTACCAAATTATAATCCATATTTTAATACTTCCAAGCATATATTATATATATAAAAAAAATCAAATATAACATGTAAAACCATGAAGGAACAGTCAAGAGATATTATACTTATACTTATACAATTTTTAAAATTATATTTTTTTAAATTGATTTCTAAACTATTTTTTTTTCACTTATTTATACATTAGTTATTGTTTTGTTTTATTTAAAAAAAAAATTGAAAGCATAATTTTAAATAAAATATATTCAAAAACATAAAATCATTACCAATTATAATCCAAAATTTTAATACTTCCAAGCATATATTATATATATAAAAAATCAAATATATCATGTATAACCATGAAATAATAGTGAGGAGATATTAGACTTAGCGGAGTCAGCATAGTAACTCAGCCAGGATCAAAAAAATTTAGCCAATATCAAATATTAAATTCTATCCTGCAGCTAAGTTACGATTATTTAGTAACGTCTAAAACATGGCTAATTTTTAAAAGTCAGCTAAAGCCAAAACGTTGGCGGAGCCACTGGTTATACATATTACCCTCGTGCATATGATTAAATAGGGAGTGTGCATAACCTTACTTACTATTAAATCATCAAAATTAGGAGCACAGTATGATGTTTTCATTGATCCAAAAGTTAAAAAAAATAGATTGAATAGTTTGTACTGTTGCACTGTTTGTGATTACCATCTTAAGAAAGTTTGTGCAAAGAGCAAGATTAATGGGCTCCAAGCCAATAACATTAAGCCCCCTCAAAATCCAAGCATGTTTGTTGCTGCAAAAGTTACTTCCTAAGTTGTTATTGAATTCATTGAAAATGCATGGATTGGAAATTTTAAGATAAGCCAAAAATAACAACCAAAAAATCACCTACGATGATGGTAGCAGCGAACGTGTTTCTTGTGTGCCATGCTATTAACCTACTCTACTATCAAGGGTTCATTGACAATAATGGTAGCCAGTGGCGGTGATTGGCTGGTGGGTTGATGGCGATGGTTGACCTGTGATAGGGATGAGTCTCGGGTGCTCAAAGATGTTCCCAACAGGCAAATAGTTCTATTTCCCTTTAGGATTAGTTATCAGGTTGAGAGTGGGATAATTTGGATCAACAGAAATATAAAAATTATTAATGTAACATCGTCTAACAGGTTAAATTTTTGAGTTGAATTAATTCTTTACATGTTATCAGAGCATCGGTATCATGAGTTCGATCTCCACTGCCCTTTATTTAATTAATAATTTAATTAATATATCTTGCGTATAGGAACATGTTAGATATATATAAAAATCATTAATGTAACCTCACCCAACAACTTAAACTTTTAGATTGAATTTATTCTTTACAAATAGGATAACTTTATCTTATCATATTAGCTCATCAAACAACAAATAAAGAACATGATAGGATATTCCTACTCTTACGCTGTTGGCCCTAAAGTTTTGGTTTAAAGCATATAGTTTTTTGGTCACATTAATTACATAAAATAAGAATCCGTGACCAGCAGAATAATGGGTATTTTGCCCTTTAATCTAACAGTGTTTGTGAAAAATTAGACACCAAATGACATGATGGGTCATTCAATATTGTTTTGCATTAGTACTAGTATCTAATTTGTCTCGTATCAAGGTTTAAAAAACGCCCCTCCATTTTTCCCCAACCGAACCCCATAAATTCTGCAAAAGTTCATGTTCTTGGTAGGGATGGTCAATATTTTAATGCTTTTATTCGGGAATGTCATGACATGGGTAGCTTTACTCTTTTGCTTTGAGCCTGTGCTCTGGCTATTACCGTTTGGACCTTCTATTCATGATTTCTCGTGAACCCTCTTTTGTCTCTTAATGCAAACTATTTAAGATATATGCACCATTTGATTTGAAGCTGATCATGTGGCTAGGATTTCATTGCAAAATACTCTTCAAGTGGAATTGCATGCATGGCAGTGCTTCCCCTTTGGCTTTTCTTGGACTCTTCTTTACTACAGGTTTACAACCCACAAAAAGTGTTGGAAAAGAAAGCAACTTTCTCTCAATTAGTTATGTGATTCACTCGCAACTTCCTATTCAAAAGGTCACTGCTTGCTCAAGGCATCCAACAAAGGGTTTCACATGGTGGGGTGTGTGCAGTGTGACCGTGTCATTTCCATTCCAAGGCCATTGAAAGCTACCCCCTTTTATTTTTTTTCATAAAATTAAAGTTCTGTCCTTATTAAGTCGTGGTCCATATGCACTTTCATCTACTCTCTGGGCACTAATTCACATTTCTGACTCAGTTTTGCTCTTAATATTATTTTCACACTGTTCTAATTGTGGTCTGATTAATTTGCTGTTGGTCGGTTACTAGGATTAAAATGACAGGAAATATAAATACTATACTTGATATTTACTCATTAGTTTTGTGGAAACAATGCAGTGGAAGCAATCTCAAGTGGAGATGAATTATGATATGAACTGTGAACTGAATAGAAACACAGTAAACACTTTCCTTACTTTAAGTGAAGTATCCAAAACATTATCCATAATTCTTTTATTTGATATATGTTCCATATTGTAAGAAGCCGCGATGCCAGATTTTAAGAAAAATGAACACGTACAAATTATGAACTCAAAATAAGCTAATAAAAAGTATGTTATACGCTTTAAAAAGTTAGAAGAATATCTTCTTATATAAAGTTGGGAAGGGAAAATATTAGTTATTGAATCACGTATGTATAATAATAAAAAAATAAAACCTTATAACTTTTGTTTTTAAGTTATTACGTGATTTTTAAGTAATTTTTAAAGTTGTTAAAAGTGACTACGAAAATGCTATAATCCCCACCTCCGTAATCATATTAATATACTTGGACCGGTTATCCCAAGATTTTTTACATAGTATTAGAGCTCGAGTGACTATAAGGTCACAAATTTGATCCTTACCGCCCCCACTTTAAAGTGGAATTAAAATAAATAAAATACACAAAAGGTAAACCAAAAATTGGGCCTGTGCAATTTCTACGCTTCTAGCCTAAATGGCTCTTGCGTGAGGGGGCGTGTTGAGATATATAGTCATCATTGATTGTATGAGCAACTAATGTGAAGTTTATAAAATCTTGATCACTCTCACCCTATGAGCTAGCTTTTAAAATAGTGTATCCCAACGTTATTTATAACTTGTATACTAAACTGAAAAGTTGGTTGATTTAATTTGAATTGACATGGAATTTAATTTAATAGCTATAAAACTGAAATGACATCATATTTATTGTACATGGTCCACAAATTGGAGAAGATAGGAGCTACTTTATTATTATACTGGCTAACAGGGTTATCAGCCTGAGTACCATTAAGATTTTAGTTCATTATTACTAGTTTGCTATTTATTATTTAAGACTTCAAATCCAATTTTATAACCTCTCCACCCCCACCACGGGTCCAATCCAAACTTCAGAGGTTTCAGATCCATGCCATTGATTAGGACCCCTTTAACAATGTTGAACATTTAATTAGAGAAAGTAACAAAAGAGGGTTTATTACCGACGCATTGGTTTAAATGGAAAAAAGGTTCAGGTATATGTAATTCTGACTTTTATCTAAGATTCATGAATATAAAAAAGGGAAAACAACTTCTCCTTTTAAAGGAGAATAGCCATCTTATGTCATAGACACAGTTGTTGTGGATCCCATTGTTTTTTTACAAAAAAAAAAAAGACTCAGTACAAGGACCGATGTGAGAGCTGCAAAAGTTTTTTGGTTGCAGAGAAATGAGAGGTATAAACCCCTATAAAAAATGCCATTATTAGAAATTTATTCCTTTGGTGCTGGCTAATCTATATTTTCTCAGTTATCAATTAGGATGATGTTCTGGGTGAAGAAAAAAAAAAAAAAAACGAAGAAGCTAAAAGTTACCAACTAGCTGAAAGAGAACCAACTATAGTATACGGCTTCTGCTATGGTTTATGTATAAAAGTTACTGTTTGACTAATAATTTGTGTATCCAAAAAACTGTTAATTAAAGTATTGAATTTTGTAATGCATGCCTTGCTTATACCTCACCTTTTGTTTAATTCACTTCCTTTTCTGTGATATGTTTAAGTATTTTATTTTGCAATGTATATATGGACAAAACCATGTTTGGAAATTAGAACCACCACCAATTTGATTCCATCTAAATAGGTCCTCATAGAGCTTAGAGACAGCACCCTCTCTGGCCTCTGTTGTCTCCCTGCAACACACCTCACTGGCCATCTCTATCCTTTTCAAATAACCTCCAACTTCCGAGCAGAATGAGTTGCACTATTCACCATTTGCAATGACGCAATTGCCCCTAGTCCTTTCCACTAAGCAACAAGCAGGTGGCACTAGAAAACACCATATTCTACAAAGCACTTCAAAAGGGTATTCTAGTAAATACATTTACTAGAGTCCAACTCTATCAACTGCAATCTAAGGATAAACATAGATCCGCAGAAACAACCTCTCTCTCTCTCTCTCTCTCTTGATGATATCATAAGATCGTTACTCAGATTCTAAACTCTCAGAAGCGGAAATTATTACGCCAGAATAGTCGTTCCTGCTTCACCGGTAATGGGTTTTCTCAACAACCACTGAGAACGGAAATGGGTGGTGAAGAGTTCGCCGGAGAATCCAACACGGCGGAGGCACTCACCGGAGCTTCCCGCCTCCGGCGAGCCGTCGAGCTCATCTGCTCCTTGCTCTCTCTCTCTCACTCGATCAAGGTCTTCGCCGGAAAATGGAAACTCATTCGGAACAAGCTGGAAGAGCTTCACTCCGGTCTAATCGCCGCCGATAACTGCGATTCCGGCGAGAACCCATCGCTCTCTCGGTTGGTTTCTTCGATTGTGGCCACCGTGAAGGAGTGCGACGATCTGGGTCGGCGCTGCGTCGATTTCTCCTACAGTGGGAAGCTACTGATGCAGAGTGATTTGGATGTGGCGTTCGCGAAGCTCGATGGACACGCGAAGAAGCTTTCGGAGATATACAAGACGGGTATTTTGACAAATGGGTATGCGCTCGTTGTGTCAAAACCGAGTCTTGGAGCTTCCAAAGAGGATGTGAGGTTCTACGTGAGGGACTTGTTGACGAGGATGAAGATTGGTGATTTGGATATGAAGAAACAGGCCTTGAGGAATCTTCTTGAGGTTGTGGTGGAGGATGGGAAGTATGTGAAGGTGGTTGTGGATGTGGGTGATGTTGTTCATGTGCTGGTGAGTTTCCTGGGTTCCACTGAGGTTGAAATCCAAGAAGAAAGTGCTAAGGTGGTTTGTGTGGTTGCGGGTTTTGATTCCTATAAAGGTGTTTTGGTTGGTGCCGGGGTTATTGCGCCGTTGATTCGGGTTTTGGATTGTGGTAGTGAGTTGGGGAAGGTTTGGGCTGCGAGATGTTTGATGAAATTGACTGAGAATTCGGAAAATGCTTGGTCTGTTTCGGCTCATGGAGGTGTCACTGCCTTGTTGAAAATTTGTGGTAATGAAGATTGTAAAGGGGATTTGGTTGGTCCTGCTTGTGGGGTGTTGAGAAATCTTGTTGGTGTTGAGGAAATAAAGAGGTTTGTGGTTGAGGAGGGTGCTGTGACCATGTTTATCAGGCTTGTGAGATCCAAGGAGGAAGCAATTCTGGTGAATTCCATAGGGTTCATTCAGAATATTGCCTCTGGGGATGAGTTGGTTAGGCAGATGGTGATTAGAGAAGGTGGAATCCGTGCTTTGTTACGTGTTTTGGATCCTAAATGGTCGTATTCTTCTAAAAGCAGGGAGATAGCAATGAGGGCTGTTGAGAATTTGTTTTTTTCTTCATCTAGTTCTGTAAGTGTTTTGATGAGTTATAGTTTTGTGGATCAGCTGCTATGTTATATTCGAAATGGGGAGGTTTCAATTCAAGAGTTGTCTCTGAAAGTGGCATTTAGATTGTGTGGAACATCGGAGGAGGCTAAGAAAGTAATGGGTGATGCAGGTTTTATGCCAGAGTTTGTTAAGTTTTTAAATGCAAAATCTTTTGAAATTCGTGAAATGGCTGCGGAGGCACTCTCTGGCATGGTTAAGGTACCTAGAAATAGGAAGAGATTTGTGCAGGATGACCATAATATGGCCCTTCTTCTGCAATTGCTTGACCCGGAGGAGGGAAATTCAGGTAACATAAAGTTCTTAATCTCTATCTTGATGTCATTAACAAGTTGCAACAGTGGGAGGAAAAAGATTGTTAGTTCTGGATATGCCAAAAACATAGAAAAACTTGCAGAGGCTGAAGTTTCTTCTGATGCCAAGAGACTTGTGAGGAAGCTATCATCAAACCGGTTCCGCAATATGTTAAGTGGAATCTGGCACTCATGAATGTAATACATGTTTTTACCCTTTTTTAACTGTATATTTTCATAAGTGTCTTACAAGTTTTGCTAATTTCCCCCCCCCCCCCCCCCCCCCCCCCCCCTTCTCAATATGCTTTCTGTTTTATTCCATTGGCCTTGCCTATGACAAGAGTAGCACAGGTTTATATTGAGATTGTAACCAGATGTAGTGATACCATAAAAGCTTTGTTGTAGATTTTCTTGAGGATATACTCTGCCATTGCTTTTAGGCCTTTAGCTATGGTAGGTTGTACCAAAGAAGGAAAGAATTATATTATATTATATCAAAAAAAGAAGAATGTAATTACTAATTACAATTATTCACATACATCAGTTTTTGTTTGGAAGTGTTCCTAAAATATTATAGTTCATGCATTTGTTAATCGTGTGACCACATGGGGAAGACATCAATCCTTGGTAAAGCATGTGAGTAGTGTCAAACTATCTTTGCTCTAGCCAGCATTCTGTATAAAGAAGATAGCGATAGATGAAGTTTCCATCTGTATTGCTTTGTCTCTTAGCAAGCTCTGTCTTTTTGCTATAGGCTATAGCTACTTCTTAGTTGTTAAGAATGTGCACACAGCACACGTATGCCAGTTGCCCGAGAACTCTTATAGATAAGAGAACAAAAATTATTCCACATCATTCCCCTTTTCTTTATTCTTCTGTTTTTTAATTACTATTTGCCTTCGAGTTCTAAAATGACATGGTGAATGGCTTGTGTGAATGGTTCAGGAAACTCTTTTTTTTTTTTCCAATTTCCAAGTTTCCCAAGTCAATGATCTCACTTGTTGAAATCTTCAAACAGTATTTGGTTCAAAGTTCAAACTTTGAAGAGTTGTTTTATAATATAGCATTAACAGCGTCCCATGGACGGAGAATTGTGCATTGTGGTAGGGCTCGTCCTCTTAACTATGCGTATGACTGGTGTAGTGGTATGCATATTGAGGTTACTTTTGGGAATGGATATTATATATATCTTTTTTGATAGATATTAAATGAGTAGGGCTTAATCAAAAATTGTAAAAAGAGAAACATTTTCCAAAAAAGAAAAAGAAGAATAGAAAACAAAAATTCTTTTAGTGCTCTATAGACTTTGACTTGTTTCTAAATGCTAACCAAGATCAATTACGGGTAAAAGTCTTCTTCAGTTGAGTGGTTGGATTATGACAGTTGCAAGTTATCATCTGTTAAACCGTTAACTCAATATAATGGAGGCTCTTCTTTCACATTGATCTTTGATTTTAGGGGGAAAATATCTTTATAGGAATATGACCTCCCTTAAGGGTGTGTTTGGTACAAGAGAAATTTTTTGGTGACCGGAAATCATGATTAATGAGAATTCAGTAGAAATTGAGTTTACTTGGAATCTTACGAAAGATGTGTTTGGTTCGCCAAAATATTACCGGAAATATTGGGTAAAAATTACTGATTCCATATTTGATTTAGAACGAAATATGACTTGAAATATGTTATTTTACAAAAATAACCCCAAACTATTTTTATTTTTGTAATTGATAGATTGTGTCTAGATTTTTATGTGTATTGGGATATTTTTGTCTCAAAATTTATTGTTGTGCTTTCTCTTTACTTGGTATTCTGATTGGTATTCCGAATTATCATATTATTTTTGATAATCTGAATAGTGACTTTTCTTTATAAATCAAATTACTGGTAATCCTTGGATATCCGGGAATGGTAATTTATTCCTTCTACCAAACGTGGTAATTACATTTACCAAAGAAGGATTACCGGTAATCCTCTCCAAAAACTTGAACCAAACACCCCTAAGAGGATTAGAACAAATGAACGGAAAAGAAAAAGTTTTCTTAAGGTTACGCCAAACATAGAAAAATAATTTTTTGAACAAGTCTTTTATGCACCTAAGTTAATCTTTTTTTAAAAAAAAAAAATCAAAAAGAATTTTCCATGTCAAAGACCAAAATATTAAAAAGAGTATTTTTGAAATATGTGTTCTTCCTAAAACAATGGGAAGGAAGTGGCCCCTCCACCCAAAGGTTTCACACGGGTTTTAATATTATTTGCATTTGTGAATTCTCGTGCCTTGGCTCGAAACATCTTACAGACAGAAATTTCTCATTCTGCTGAGAACTGAGAAATCTTTCCGTGCCCGAGGACTTCAATTTTTTATTGTCGTAGCCTTACAAACAAATTACAATCACAAAATAGAGAAAATGAAAATATAAGCCATTAGTTCTAGTAACGAAGGGTTATATATATATATATATATATATATATATATATGAGAAAAGTGTTTCTCATTTTAAATGACATAAATTAGATCATTTTAAAAGTGAGATAGACACAAAATAAATTTTTTTATTTAAAATTTAAAAATTAAAAAAAACACTCACTTTCTCCCTATGATTTTCATTTCTTGTGTCCATCTCTTTCTTAAAATAACATATATATATATATATATATATATATATATATATATTTTCAGTTTTTCTGGGAATGAAAAAAAAAGGATTTGGGAGAGCCGCCCCCAAAAGGGTCCGACAGTGCTCGAATGGGGATTAGTCTTCGGTTTCGGCTAGAAGATACCCTTCAGATTACTGGAAAAAAAAATGACAAACATCAAACCCATATATATATATATATATATATATATATATATATATATATATATATGTGTGTGTGTCATTTAAAATGACAAACACTTTTCCCTATATATATATAGTTTGATGTTTTTTTACTTTAAATGACATAAGTTAAGTCATTTTAGGAGAGAGATAGACACGAGGAATAGAAATCGGGAGAAAGTGGGTGATTTTTTTTAATTTAAATATCTCTTTTAAAATAACATAACTTTATGTCATTTAAAATGACAAATATTTTTCCCATATATATATGAGATAGGTTATTTTACCTACTCCTATTTTGCCTACCCTTGCCTACCCCTTTCAACATCGTTAGATTACAATCCCATCTGACGGTAGACATTTGCGAAATAAAATAAACCCTTCTTTCTCATTCTTTTTCCTCACCTCCTGCCGCACCCTTTCTCTTTCCTCTCCTTTTTCTCTTCCTCGCGACGAATATCGGAAATTCCGGTAACGCAAAAATCAATTCCTCCAAAAAGAAAAACACATATTCAATAAAAAAAAAGAACCAAAAACAGAACACACGACCATCAAACGTTCTTATTCCTTAGGATTCATTGAAAGTCGTCGCTTCCGATAAGACAATGGAGTGCTAGGGTGCTTATACCTTTATAGAATTTCGAAATAACATAATTCATGTCTCCGCCAAACAATTTGAATATTGGTATGATAAGCAAACAAACAATTCAATCTAAAACAATTCTATACACCTTTAAAACTCAATTGTTTGTTATTTTGCCTACCCCTTTCAATATCGTTTGATTGCAATCTCATCCAACAGTCTATATTTGCGATATAAAATAAACAATTTTCTCCCTTTCTTTCTCCTCACTTCGATATTTGCGATATAAAATAAACCATTTTTCTCCCTTTCTTTCTCTTCACTTCCTCCCACACTCTTTCTCTCTCCTCCCCTTTCTCTCTTCCTCTGCTACCAAGACTGAAAATAAGAGAGAAAGGGAAGGATATATTTACCACCAAAAAAGTTTACAACATTTACAACTAACCTAATCATCATTGATTTCTGTCAATCTAACAGTTATAATTTATTGGAAATTATTGGATCGCATTTATTAATAATTATTAATAAAAAGATTTCTAACCCTTGATATGCATGGTGTTATATTTAGGCCCATTGTAACCTTCTTGGGCTTTTACAGATCTAATGCACAAAGCTGGCGAATTAAATGAGTTATCATACGTTCAAAAAAAAAAAAAAAGAGTTACGATATGATTTGAAACGAGTCAGTTCACATATTACAGGTTTCATTTATTTGTCTAATTTAATAATCGAAAAACCCTAACCCTAAATTTTATGCAACAGTCGCAGAGAAGGAGAAGGAGATATAGGTAGGTATTTGGAACTAGGGTTTAGGAGCAAGCTTTGTGACTGGGTTTAACGCCATTCAAGAGGAAGGAGATATAGGTAGGTATTTGGAACCCCTTTTGTTTTGTTTTTTGTTTTTTATTTTTTTTAATCGTTTTAGCTGAAACACACAGAAAATAAAAAATAGCTTTTCGAGTTTCAAATTTTTCGCATTGGGTTCTCTATTCTCTTTGATCTTTCGCGTTTTTCTTTTTCTGGGTTTTTCTTTTGCCCTTATTTTTTGGTGGATATGGATGGTGATGTTGGTGGAGCTCCCAACATCACCATCGAATTTGATTGAATTTGATCAAAAAATAACTTCTGTGACTGTATCTCCTGTTCTTTGGAATGGATTGGGATGGTTGTTGAATAAGTAGTACATATTAGATGGACAATATTCTGAGAAACTTCCTTTTTTTATTTGGTAATTCACTCTTGGACTTTGCCATCGAGAATTTGAACTTTTGAACATTGAGAGGGTGAAGATATATTGTTCTGAGAATGAATCACACGACGATTTTTCCTGCCAACTCATCATCATGACCCTGGGAGGTTTCTAGACTCAATGTACCCTTTTCCAGTGACCAAATAGCTGAGAAAGTACGAGTATAAATTCCTTCATGATTTTATCTACAAAAGTAGGACATTTGTATTTTTTACATGGAGATCTATTCGACATATGTATAACATTTTTTTGTTACATGTGTTTATCATATAATATCCGTAAACTAATGGTGTAATGGGGGAAATGAAGAAATGCAACATGTGTTATCATTGAGCAACCAAAGTAACCTGTCAAGAAAACTCATGTAATCTCTCTCTTGTGCTTTTGCCTTTAAGTGAATATTATTTATTTTAGAGAAGTATGGGAGTAAATCTCTATGGGGTTTCTGAATCAAATTTATATGTTACTTTGGGATTTTTTTGGCACATTCAGTTACTTTGGGATTCCCATTACTGAGTAACATTCCAAATATTCCATATATAACAAACCTGTTGTATTTAAGAAAAGAAACTAAGATATCATTGAAGTATCTAGGGACTGTATTTAATAAGTCAAAATTTAGGATCTTTGCTAGGTCCACAAACAAACCAATTTAGCTCATAGACTCGTTCAAAACCAGAGTTTCAGTTTTCCATCAGAATTTCATTATTATTCTACTACTTACTCTGCTTAAACTAGATTAAACAAAACAATAAGAGGATGGGTTTCCATTCCAATTATATAATATCAACATTTCTATGCTTCCTAGCTTATTTATGGCAACAAAATAGTGCATATGCTTCACAATATGCAGCATATCAATTCAAAATTGATGAAACTTGTCTTCACCA